AATGAGGAAATAACTCCAACATCAACTAATCAATCAAGAATATCGTATGTAAATTTTGAATTCTAAAAAAGAACAAAAAATCATTTTTTGTTTAGATTCATAAATATTCTAAAAAGAAAAAAATTCTTATGGATCACAATTGGTGTTATTGTTACTCTAATTATATTATCAATAAGTATTTCATTATCTATCGTAATGAAAAAAAAGAAAAATGTATCACAAATAACGACAGTAATAACAACAACAGAAACAACAGCAGCAGCAGCAATAACAACAGAAGGTAAATGTTTGTGAGATAAATAGTACAGAAAAGATAGTTTATTGAATAAATCAATACTATCAGTTTGTGTTTCGTGTGTTGTTCAGTTAAATTATAGTTCAAGTTCGAATTGTAGAATATATCTTGAAGTATATTTCGACATATGATAAAGAACAATCGATAGAATTGTAACTTTTATATTGTATTTTTTAACTCGAAATCGATTATACATCACTTTCATAGAATAACAATTCATTCTGTCTGACAGCGTAGAAAAAATGAATAGTTTAGTTTATTATTTCTCAGTTTTATTCTATTTATAAACGTAACAAGATACAGGAATTATAAAAATCCACAGGACTTTCAAGTTTTACCCATTGGAAATTACTTATATAATGACAAATTCAGAGATATTTCATACAAGTTTTCGATGGATATAATCGTTAGTAAAGACGAATGATTGTCAATGTCTAATAAACACATCTATAAATTAATTCTTTAGACATAAACATTTGTTTCAATTAGTTATTTTTTTAAAACAATATTTTTTTTTTACTTTTTTAATAGAATTATCATTTACTTCTGTGTCAAATAATAATTATCTGAAATGGAACCGAAGCTTTTCTATTGTTGCTGGAGGAAATGGGGATGGAAATGACCTAAATCAAATTAGTGGTACTCGAGGAATCTATATTGATGATGAAAAACAGACGATTTATATTGCTGCATACAACAGTGATCGGATTGTTGGTTGGAAATTCGGTGAAAAAAGTGGTAAAATCGTTGCTGGTGGAAATGGACAAGGAAATGAAACTAATCAATTGGAAAATCCATCAGATGTAACTGTCGATAAAAAAAATGATTTACTCATTATTTGTGATAAAGGAAACGAACGCGTAGTACAATGGTCTCGTCAAAATCGAACAAGTCCAGAAATAATTATTCCCACAATTAAATGTACTGGTGTAACAATCGATAATGATGGAGATATTTATGTTTCAGAAGAAGAAACACATAGTGTTAAACGATTCAAACAAGAAGAAGCAGAGGGAACAACAGTAGCAGGTGGACAGGGGTGTGGAGAAGGTCCAAGTCAGTTAAATGATCCTGCTTACATTTATGTTGATGAACAATATTCGATTTATGTATCTAATAAATATGCTCGTGTGACAAAATGGATAAAAAATGCAAAAGAAGGAATTATTATTGCTAAGGAACAAATTCCAGAACCTATTCACTCATGGCCGAATTTTCCGTCCGGAATGGCTGTCGATCATTTTGGTAATGTATATGTGTCAGAACCTCAGCATATACAAATAATGCGCTGGTCAGAAGGGTCTGAAGAAGGTTACGATGTTATGAATGGAGAAAATGACGAACAACTACCACATCTGTTCAGTGGACCTGCAGCTATATCATTAGATCGAGAAGGAAATCTATATGTCGTTGATGTTTACGAGCGTTACATAATGAAGTTTGATGTTGATGTTAACTAAAGTTATTATTTGTAATCAAATAGATTTTAATATAACAATCTGCTTTTTTTGTCATCTTTTTCATCTTATTTGAAAATAAATCATCTTATCATTGAATTCTTCTAGTTTATTTTTCTCTTAACATGTCTAAAATCTTCGAAGATATTTTGATCGATTATTACAATTGAGATACAACGCTTCTACAGTCGATATAGATCTAAGTATAAGTTGTATTTAACTATAATTTATGATGATATTTTATGAGCGTAGTTATTATACCATATGGTATATGGAATATTTGTAAATAAAACTATACGATTGTAGCTGACTGTATTGCTATTCAAATTAGATCAGAAAGTATTTTCAACACTTGCTTCGGTTCGAACTTAAACTGAATTTGTTGATTTCTATTCATCACTTAATAGATGAACAAATCCATTTACACAAAAATTTATAAATACTTATCTATTATTATTGTTTTCCCATTTCTTCTTTATCTTCAATAATGATAAATATGAACAACGTGATATTCTTAGTCATATTGTGAAGATGAGTTATCTATGGAAAAGAATAATTATACACAAGCGGATAATAGAGTACTATCACAGGTAGAAATTAGTTTGTACAAAATTGATACAAATTTCTTTTATTACTATCCATGAAAAAAGAAATAATTCACTTTGATAGAATAAATGACTTTGAGTATAAGATAAAGAGTATGTCATTTATCTCTTATGTATGTCTATATTGATATTCAACTATTAATTATTACAAACCATAATAGCAATTCACTTATATTTTATTTTATATTATTACTTAAGTTTAGAATACTACTTTGAAATTTTCTGTATTATCACTTATAGGTAGAAATTGATCGAAAATTTACTATTTATATTAAAAAATATCAAGATAATAATATTATTCATATATAGACCTATTGATATCATATCTTTGTTTGAACATCAATCAGTAGTCTATCCATTATTAATCAAGTACTTATAGAATTTATCAAATTCAAATTTATTTTATTCAAAAGAAAAGAGTAAAAGTTAATAATATTAACATGAGTACATTCAACTATTGATTTAAAGAATATATTTTGTACGTTTGTAATCGAACTTTATGGTGAAATGAGGAAACGTATACAGTGTCCATATAGATTGAGAAGATTTGTACGTCATGTTGATGTATCAGGAAAAGTGCTCGATTGGATGACATCTCACGGTACTTCAGATCCAGTAGCAGTATGTAATGAAGAAGAACTAACACGCTTCGCTCAATTTCCAGAAAGTTTTTAAGTATCCGAGCGATATTACTTTGGAAGGTCATGCTGACAAAAAAAAGATGAGAGCCGAAAAAGGAAGAGATGAATGGTAACTATTAAAAACAAGAGGAAAAAAGAAAAAGAACAATAACAATTTCAAATGAGTAATGCTTAATAACCGAGTTTCTCCTGTTCTAGCTCGCATTTTTCTTCTCTTCATGTGTGATTCAAACAGAGCATGTCTGTCTGTTTGCTTAGTACAAGCCGTTGAACCTTTCTCTTGCTTTCACAAACTGCTTCAAGTTTGCTAGCTCAACTGTTCCTCTAAGACCGACATGATCAGAGGTTCCTCTTAAGTGAATAAAAAAAATTTCTGATGAAAAGATAATATAGATAATAAATAAAAGAAAAATGTTATTTTTATTTTGAGAAAAAGTTTATTTTTGCTATCATAGAAAGAAATTCCTGTTTGTATGTTTTTGAAGGTAAAATAAATAAAATAATAATTAGTAATGGTGGAATAAATGAAATATAATATCCAATTAAATATAACCATGGAGTACGTATTGAATCCATACATCCAGATAAAAATGAAATAATTAAACGAGGAATAGATAATAATATTAAAATACATGATGATATAAGAAGGTGTTTATTTTGTTTAATTTGAGCATAAAGAATTTTTTTATATGCTGATTTTTTCTTTGTTTTGACACGTATTCGAAATACTTGAATAGTAATACATATAGCAGATAATATATTAATTATAAATGGTATTAAAACATGAAATATATTTATAAATTTATCATATTTTTTTAAACTTGTTGAATATTCAAGAATACACCATGTTCTTTGTTCATCATCAATATCATCAATTGTTCGACGAGATATTGGATCATGAATATAAGATATACTTATTAATAATAATATGATCGGTATAACATATCTAGCTATATATTTACTTTTTGACTGATTAAAAGATATTCCTTGTGTAGCAGCTAATGTTCTTTCAATGGCTACAGCTACATATAACCAATCACCAAAACTAAGAAGAATTTTTAATAATACATCAGTTAATATACAACTAAAATGAATAAATGATGTATTTGTTATAGATTTCATTTGAAAAATAATAAGTTGAAAATATTTAATTGTAAATATAGTTATTGTTAATATTGATATGATTGAATTTGTTAATAAATATATTCCACAACCCGTTTTAAGTAAAGATTCACTTTTAAAAGTTAATGTAGATAATAATCCATTAATAATACTAAATATTAACATAAGGATTGTTATTGATGCTGTTATTTT